CTACTCAGATCTTCTATTGCAGAAATGTTTGATCCATAATGTAACAGGAAAAAAAAACATATTGTACAGAAAAGGCACACTGTTTCTAGTAAAACACAATGATCTAGTGAGAGTGCAGATAACTGAATGCTTCCTCTGGAACTGTACAGTGGGATGAGGGAAAATCAGTACTTTGACACAGCAGAATATTCTAATTTTAAAAAGTCAAATCTATATGGGATAGGCATATGGTCAAACCTCTTCTACTTACATTTTGTAAACACGACTTTCATTTGTTTTGCAGCTATAACTAAGCATACTGCTTCATAAGCCATTTATAAACCATGGCTCTTAATAAGCCAAGGAGTTAAGCTGTCAGAAAAGGGTTTATTTCTTTTTTTCCATGAGAAGGCAGGGCTAATCATAAACTTCATATTGTTCTCAGAGTGGAGAGGACGTTAGGCTACAGTTTCAGAACCTCTATTCCAAGGCCATGAACTGTAGTCTAGAGATCTGTGGTGGTCTTCATGAACATTGCAAATGAGCCCTTGTGTAGGAGTCAAATCCAAGATTTTTAAAGATAAAGGTCTCAAATCTCAAAAGAAAGCCACATTTTGCAAGATTCCAGCATGGTTTAGCCCCAAATACCAAATCACTGCCTTCAGCCACGGATGAATGAGACAAAATATGGATACAATAAACTATAGCTTGCCAGTTAAATTATGTTTGTACCTATCATTATTTGACCCATTTAGACATCATAGTTATAAAACAGAAGCTGAGGAAGTAAAAAGGGAGAAGAATTTGACAGGGAAGATAGAAGCATTTCACCTGAACCAAGGCAAGACACCAATGAGACAAACCAATGAGCCAAATATTTATCAGAAGGGTTGTTTTAATCTCCATTATGTCAGCAAGTGCTGAGGAGTTTGTTTCATGTTGTGGAGATTTGCAGGGGCTGCATTTATCTGGTTGATGAACTGGTGTCTGCAGATACACATACATTGTTTTTCTTTTAAGAAGTTCTTTTCAGAAGAATATATCAGTTTGCAAAGGCACAGAATCCATACCTCTTCTTGACTACAAAACTTTGAATTACTTCTAAAGTTTCAGGAAAACCAAGATTTTGTTTCAAATTTTTTGGAGGGTCCTTGCTGTTCTTTGGAGGAATTCCTATGTTTTCTGAATCAGATGTTCCAATTCTGGATTTGAAATTTGTTGTAAATAAATGTACACCTCTACTAATCTTACACATGGATGCCGGTAAAATAAGCAGTTCCATCTTTTCTAGCTATCCCTCTGAAGTGATACAGATTAGAAGATACAGTATGTACTATGTGCTTTTTTCCTAGATATTTAAATTCGCCTTGACAGCATCTAGTATGCTTTACACTGAGTAACTGATTCAGCTGTACAGTTATACAGTAGGCACAATATTTAGCAGATGATGGTTCTAGCTATCAGATGCAACTGTGAGAAATATAATCTTAACATCCCTACTTGCTAATAAATTTCCTTCTTTTTTATGTCGGGTAGGGGGAGAATAGGGCATTCTGATTCAAGTTAAGGTTGTTATGCACAAACCGGACAAGGGTAATTTTTCATTTTAATCCTTTCACAGTCATTCCATAGTCCAAGAAATTCATTGCCACTAATGTTCTTTTCTTTTTCAGGCTTCTATGGTGGGGACAATTTCAAAAATGAATAGTATACCATACAGATAATAGAGAGAAGTTCATTCGTCCCCAACTCACAGACAAAGAGTCCCAATCCAGGTCAGGATTTCATGTGCTTACTCTAGTATATGAAGGGACATGATAAGCTGTATGAAATGTATGAAACAGAGTTTCATGTTGGAAGAGTACTCTTCCAAAAGCCTTCTACAATCATTCTTTCTGGAAAGTACAATATGCCAATGAATGGTCTAAGTTTTACAAGAGAACTTCTATTTTTACTTCCAAAGTTAAAAATGTAAAACAGCTTCCTTGAGAAGCCTGTTTTGATAACAGCTAGATCATTAACAAGATACATTACATTAAGTAATCTACTTCAGCAATTTTAAAACCAAGTTGCTAGTTAAATTTAAGAGTGAGAGGAAAAAGAAATATATTTGACTATTTTGCAAAATCTGAAGTGTATCCAAGTCAGGATGGTATCTAAAAACTGAATTGGGCGGTATTTTTTTTTTTTTAATCAGGGAAAAGCTGAAAAACAATGACTGAGAAGTCAATTTCATTTTTTACTGAACCCTCAAAATCAATAAAATGGAATCTCATGGAAAATGATGAAACAGAAGGATGAATCAGTGCCATGTTATGATCCATTCTCTGGGATAACATGCATGTAAAAATGCAAATCCATATATTTACTCCCAAGACATCATTAAGAACCCAACTTAGATTGTTAAATATTCTCTTTATTAAGTTGGAAGTTGGAAACTTTCTATAGCGAATCTCTCGTTGGTCACAGATGATATTCCATTTTCAGCTCAATACTCTTCTATAATGATCTAAAAAGGAACGGCAACCAAAATATTAAGCCAGTATTCAACTTCAGGTAGTTGATTAAAAAATATGGGAAGGCATTACTTACAACATGGGAACACATATCAGAGCAGATTCTTCTGAAAGCTGAATCTCCTACTGTTTTTAATGAATGGCATCTCTTTCTACTTCTAAAATTACAGCTGCAATCCACATTTTTCTTATTCAGAAATAATTCTTAAAACTAATAAGATTATTCCAAACCAATGGTTTAGAACAATAGTCCCTCTCATTTTTTCATGCTATTTATCTATATAAGCTATCAATAGAAATTAAACAAACTTTGTTTGTAAGTTGTCTAAACAATAAGTTACCTGTCTTAATTAAACAAGAATATCTTCTTGTATTAAACAGCCATTGAACAATGGCAATATCAAACACATAAAACTGTAAAAATGAAGAGGTCACAGCAAGTATAACTAGTATATAACTTTCAGTATAACTGAAAGTCACACAACATATATCAAGTACGGGCTAATATTTTGCCCATATTTTGAATGGCCATATGATAAAGAATAGTTGGTATATTGGTAATGGCAAATGACAAAGTTGGGAGTATCCTGGAATTTGAAACTAAGAAAAAATTATCTCATATGTTATTTCATGGGCTAGTTACATGCATCAATTGCATAGCATTTTCTCTTTCTTCTTCATATGGCATCTGTAATTCTTTACAAGCATTCCAAAATGTTTTAAATGATGGTGGGACAGAGATACATCCATCCCTAGGTTAACTGACAATGTCTGCAGTAAAACTGTATAACTAACTGTATTATACTAAATAGTTACAAGGGCACCTGAACTTGAAGTACTGCAACCATGTCCATGCAAACTCCCCTTCCCCTCATTGCTACAGGGATGCTGAGGTTGAGGATTGAGGTAAAGTGCATGTCCCAGTTTCCCTTGCATATTTTTTTCCAAGCTGCCTCTACAGGTTTTCTATCCCCTTCTTCTACTCTAACTACTAGTTATAGCAAATGAAATAGAAATTCATAAGTCATTTTACAAATCAGATTTTTAAAATATTTAATTCAATTGTAAAATAAAATATATGTTACTATACTGTAAGGAAGGACTTGGAAAGGTTCAATTTATTTTAAGGTTCAATTCCTTCTCTTTAAGCAGTGAACAAAAGAACAGTAACACAAACATACCCTCAAGTACCAAAACAAAGACCAGAAAATAACACAAGGTGATAACTATTGACAAGGAATCACCAAAATCCCACATCAAAGCTGAAGTCACTATGACTTATTTTCCTACTGTGAGGAACACAAGTTAAAAGTCTCTACTCTTAAACTTCTCAGAATAATCTTCTAAGGCACTACTCAACTGCATTTCATAGATTTTCTATTCTCCAACTGTTCCTTAAAGAATCATTTAGAAAGCTAGTTTTACTTTTCTGAATTAAGATACTGGCTGTAGTGAGTCAGACAACAGAAAGCATTACCAGACCAAAAGCAATCTTTCCAAATGTAAATATGCAACCCTCCAGAAAAGAGCTTAATGAGCCATAATTCCTTCCTAGCCCAATATGTACCGATCTTAATCATTTACAACACTTACTACTGATGGAAATGAGAAAATAAATACAAATCCTTTTGGTTTATCATGAATTGATCCTATACATGTTTATCCTTTTGATCCTATAGGTAGATTTATATTATTAAGACTTTTTATATCTTAAAAACATTTTAAAATCCATTTCTCAGCTGTCTTTGAAGTCCATAGTCTTCTGAAGGTGATTTATAGTAAAAATAAACAAAAGCTAGAAAATCATATTGTATGTAAATAATTGTAATTAAAATTAGTACTTAATATTTTTGTAATATAGAGAATATTTATCAACTCTTATTTTATTCTTTTTTAAAAAATACATTTGAATATAAACCAAATCAGAAATTATAACTAAACAGAAATATACTAAAAATGAAATATTACTTACTGTTTCAAACCTTTGGCATGGGGGAAACAATCCTAAAATTAACTGTAATACAGTTGTTTGGTTATAAGTTTACAAGCAGTTCTGTATTAAATTCTTCTTTCTTGCATAATAATAAAAGATTTCAAATTTGCCAGTTTAAACTGTATTTGTTTTTTCATAATATATTCACGTTCTAAAGCATTTCAGATGGGCTGCAAGAATGTCAGCCTCAATATAGGAATGAATATACCACAGTTTTATTACCCCTCCTCTCCTCAGAACTGAGGTTTCAGTATTGTTCAACATTCTATGATCAGAAACAGATTTCTAGGGAACTTATTTTCTTTCTAGACATTTCAACTTGATCCATTCCATATGCTGTCCATCACCATTAGAAGGAAGGCAACACAAAGTCTTAACTCTTTATATTCTGTGCTAACCTACAATAAATTCAGCAGAATGTAGCACAGAACACCTAAGAAATAATGGAATGAAAACAATAAAGAAAAGAACTGATTAAAAGATCTTAGCAAAAGAAGTAACAAGATACCTACTGTGTCTTGAGATTTATCCTTGACATCATAGACAGTTAGCTTTATTTTAGTCTCTTCATAGATAGGGTAATCTGGTGGGAACGTCACACCAGTCAGAAACAGTGGGTCTCTTGTTCCCTGCATAGCACAAGGACATAACTCAGATTTAGCTAGGTAGCAGCTGTGTACCATCTTGTATTCAATTATGGTCAGGAGCAGAATAGCTACAGAGATTTCCAAATGCAATATTTCTTCACATGGAAGACAGATTTTGATTACCAACAGAGAGAAAAATGCAAAATATAATACCTCTCAAAACAAAGACAAACATTTCAGGATGCAAAACTTAAGTTCGCAACAATTAACTAACTACTCCAGGCAATTGTGTTAGCATATATAGTGAATTCTTTTATAATTAGGAGGAAGAATTCATCCACTCATTCATAATCAAAAACATATAATTTTGCATACATCTAGTTTATGCACTGACATGTTACGCTTCTTGAGAAAATAAAATGTAAAAATATGGGAGGTACTAAGCCAAAGCAAAAGTAGCTGTGCCAGAATTATAAACATCTTGGAAGAAGAGTAAAATAAATACTTTTAAAATAAATGGCATAACATGGTTTGGAGTAAGTTGTGATCCAAAGCACAAATTCAGCTAATTTTATCAGCCCACAAAACTTGTATTTATTACATTTTCAGCATAGTAAACTACTTTTGAAAATTTCAAAAGCAGTCTGTAATATTGCATAGCCTTCTATAATACCACTCAGCAATCCTCCTTGTCTGGCTTTTAATTATTATATAGATATTTTATAACTTATGTTTGTGGATTTAACAGCTGTATATTAGCTGTTTTGAGGACCACTACTTGCATCGAAATATAAAAACTAAAATTGTCCAGGGTTTCTGTTAGGAATTTCAGCCAACTGTAGAATAGGAAAGGGTTCCACTTGTGCCTGAATGGTCTGCTCCAAAAACCAAAGCACAGCTTCTCAGGAAGTCTACACTGACCCATTCCACTCAGTTAAAAGTGTTTTAGCTGGTTACTGGTACTTTATATAACAACAGTCCAGTTGCCAGATGCATCTGACAGTCTAATTTTTAAAAGTGAATTTGAGTGCAGTTGAGCGCAATAAGGATTTTGCTTTCTCCCCCAAGACATATATGCAAGTACATCTTAATGTGCACTCTGCTAACAGAAGATCAACTTTTTTGTTATTCCTGAGTACCACTGCAAGAAGTAGATAAAGCTGAAAAGGCTAAACTAGATAATGCTATGTTTGCTTCAATTTGCTTATAAATTGTGCCAGTATAAAACAGCCTCTGGAGACAATGCAGTTGTAGTCCAACACACCAGAAAACCATCTAGTTGGGGAAGGCAGATATAAAATGTAACATGTATTATTACCATGAAGAACAAAGTGCTTTATTCCAGATACTGTACAGAGAAATAGGAATATGCATGAGACATATTAATACTTCTGTAACCAAACTTTTGTATTTTTTAAAACAATGCTTTGCATTTTTTGTTTTAAATTAAACAATAATTAAGAATTCCCATATCATTTTATACTTTAAAACCCAAGCAATCTTTAATGTTCTTCTGCAAAAGCAAAACTTTATTTTTACAGGCAACACTCCAGCTGTTCACACTGGTTAAATGTCAACAATTCCATGCCTTTCATGAAAGGGAAAAGGGAAAAGGGAAAAGGGAAAAGGGAAAAGGGAAAAGGGAAAAGGGAAAAGGGAAAGGAATCACCTCCACAATTTCCGTGCTTGCATATCTTGTTTGGTTCTGCTCCCCTGGATGTACCACCGTGATCTGCACAAATGTATTCAGTTTTCGATCCCGTGTCGGAGCCACTAAATCTTTACATGCTGAAAATGGTACAGAGGGGGAGGGAAGAGAAAGAAGAGGGGAAATCTCATTTAAAAAAAAAAATCACAGTGAGCGCATTGCTGTGTGGCAAGGCAGGCTGAACAATGTTTTGAATCTCTAGAGACTTCAGCTGGTTTAACAGAGGAAGTCTCTTGGAAGTACCTTACAGAAATAGGAAGTCACATGCTGCAAGGTTTTGTTTTTTTTTAATTTCAGCTAAGCCACTATGCACTTCATGTAAAGATTTCCTAAGGAGCTGGTTTCAATTCTTGCAAATTAATACATACGTATACACCATCTGTTTCCGTAAATCTGTGTGTCGACACTTAATTTAGAATTTGCAGGTCTGATACCAAAGAACGAGAACACTAAAGGAGACACCAGGAAGTCAATAAATCTTGAAAAAGTTTATTAAGAAATCACCCCTGAATACTTACAGCATCAGAAGGATACAATCCCAAAACAGCCGGGTGAGCCCTAATGGTGGGGAGGGTTCATGTTCGAGAATTCCACGAGGAAGCTGGGAAAAAGGGGTAAATCTTATAGCCCCTTTTCCCCACACCCCCACCCCTTGGAATTCTCACCTCTTGCTCTGGGATAATTAGCAAGAGGAAATTAATGTTTGTATTTACATTCATTGAAAAGATTACAAGAGACTAAGCAATGGGGAATACCCACTGAAAGGAATGCCTTGGCACCAGCTGTTTCCTTAATGTGCTGGTGGCCTGGAGCCACTTCAAATAGCACAAGAAAGCCTTCAGGGTGAAACTGAATAAGGTCTTTGCCAATTCCAGATAGCAGTGCAAGGCTGAGGGTGCTAATTAACCTGCCGCTAGCACTTTTTAGAGAACCACTGCACCACAAAGAAAAGCAGTTCAGGAAGAGATAGCTTGTTTAAACAGTCTCTCCCCTCTGCGAGGGGGAAAATTCTGTGAAGGGGGAAAGGGAAAAAAACAAAAATACAAATTAGGCAGCCAGGCACAGGACACCATCATACTATTCCCTTGCCATGTAAGCTACATTATGCACAGCTCAGTAAAGGATTAAGAAATAGTAAGGCAAAGAAATTAACTATGAGATAAGGATATACAGCTAAATATAGTTCATACCAACACTGTTCATTATACCTTTTCAAACATCCCTAGCGTTGCAAACCATCCTTATTTCCACACTTTATATAGACCAATTCATACATTGCCCCTCATTGTTTAAAATTCACATTTCTCTCTTTTTCAGGACTTCATCAACTCTACCCAACCATGACTTTCTTGGTTTTCCCTTTCTCACAACACATATCATATATTTCTTTTGAGATCTGATCTAATTAATTCTTGAGGCTAGACCGCATCAATATACTTCTTTCATACTTGTCACTATTTGTATATTAATCCACATTCATTCAGCAGCCATCCATTCTAGCTCTTCTTGTTTCACCATATTTGGGGTAGGAGCTGTGTTAGTCTATGGTAGCCATAAATCAGAAAATGTCTAGTGCACCTTTTAAGACTAATAAATTCTACTATAAAGCATAAGCTTTCATGAGATGAAGCTCACTTCATCAGACATGTGAAGTAGTTTAACTGATATAGAATTTAAATACATCAGGATAAGGCAGAGGGGAGTGAGGGGGAGATGGGATGGTAATGCAGGTGAAGGTTCAAAAGAGAGGGATTACAACGTAATCTCTCTTCTCAATTAACAATTGTAATGTGTTAAAAGCCCATGGTTTTTGTTCAGACCTTCTGGGTTAGCTTGAAACTACTGATATATGTAAGTTCAGCTATCTCATACTCAGTTGTGCTGGAATAGTCTTTTTGTACAACTATATTTATTATTAGATTCATATTTTGTCTTTCTTTCAGGAGCTCAAGGTAGTATACATAGCATTCCTTCTTCCTATTTCTTCCTCCCACAGTGAGATAGGTTAGGTTGAGACTCAGTAATTAGTTCAAAGTCATCCAGTAAGCCTCTATTGCTGATGGACTAGGATCTGGGTCTCCTCACTCCTAGTATAACAACCTGACCACTATTCTCAATCAAATTAAAAAAAAAAAAAACCCAAAAAAACCCACTTCCAAATTTCCCCCACTTCAAATTAATCCCAAGTTATTTAATAGTCTTGATAAAACATGTTTTATTTCTATCCAAAACTGATATTTTATCTTTGCCGTCTCTTTTAATCTTAATCACATATTCTTCTCTTTGACTACATTTTTGTAACCTTTTCCCTTATATATACATTGATATCTTTTTCTCATCCTCACTTTGTATGAGAGTCATTCTTTTTTGTGTACATTTTTTTATCCAGAATCTTTTACTTCATCACTTCACCCAATGTCCTTTTTCACCCTTTTCATTATTGTAACTCTACATCCTTCTTTGGAACTCTGTAACATAATTCTTTTCACTCTGTTCCAAGCAGCTTCCACATCCTCTTTCTTTATGTCCACTTTGCATTCATTCTAACCTATGTTCTAACCATTTTCCATAAATAAGTCAATCTTTCTCTTCTAGTTATCATTCTACTTTAATTCTAATCTCTTTCACTTATTTCCTTTTTTCCATATCTTTTCCTTGAGATACAATATGCTCTTAACATTACCAAATAATAGTTTCTCATTATTTTACTCTGTATCTTTCACTACTTCACTCAATCTTTCATCATAACCAATCAAATCAATTATGCTTTTTGATTTGTTTTTACCCCATGTGCATGTATGAAACTTATGCATACCTACATTTTCAAAGCAAACAGATGTTTTTCTAAGCAAATGCTCACAAAACAGTTTCCATTTTCTTTCATTCCCAGGTCTTTAAATGGCCCAATCATTTATTCTGTTGTCTTTCATCTCATTTACACCCATCCATTCATGTCACTTAGAAGAATAATTCCAAGAAATGAACTTGAGTAAACATCTGACAGGTTCACACAAAGATAAAGTGAAGGAGGGGATAGCACATTCAGACTTGCAAGATTCTGTTACCATAGCTGTTCCAATAAAAGCAGTTTTAGACCGATATGGAATTGGTTTCTTAGCTTAGTCTACCTTATAGGGCTGATACTCCTTCACCTTTCTCTTACTTTCACAGACATACAACATACCTATTTTGCCATTTCATTTATTAATTCATGTTCTTTACCATTTATTCCTGTTATATTCCATGGCAATCTCTAAATGTCATAGTCATCACCAGATGGGCCAACAGATATTGACCTTTGCTGCCCAATTTGGCTTTGGTCAATCAGGCTTTTCACACTCTACTTTTAACTAAGGTAGAAAAGGTATAGATTAGGATATCAGCTATAGGCTCAGTGCCACATGCATCATTACCTATTAATGGTAAGGTTAGTACTAATACATTTTGACACTTCATAAGCATAACCAAAGGCCATTTTTCTCCCAAGTATGGTCACTCTACTCTACGCGAGCTCAGATCTCTAATGCAGAGACACCCTTGTAAGCTAACAAACTGTTGCCTATATTGTACCAACTCTGAAGTGCACACACTCAGGATGTTTGTAAGGACATTTTCAACAAGACTGGGCATGCACACACTCAACCATTATATGCAATTTAAATATATATACAACCATTTATTTCCAAACCCCTAGAGTTCTAATGGATAAACTACTGCAGCTTTCAAATGAATTTGCCATGAAATGATTATCAGCTAAATGTAGTCACCTTTAACTGAACAAACTGTAAACTATTCAGAGATATTTCAGAGATAATCAGATATGGCTATTATCTACATTAATTTATAACTCAAGCAAAACATAACATTTCCTAAGGCTAATGAAAATTGGATATTCCACTTTAAATGCAGTAAAGTGCTTGCCTTCTTAGTCAAAGTGCATTCTCAGTACTTCTGAATATTGTTTACGTCTTCAGAGAAGAGTTTATTTCCAGAATGATACTGTTTATTATTTCTGACCAAAAGGTCCTGTGTATATGTAATAAATAAATACCAACATTTGAAAAAAGGAAAAGGAAACATGAAAACATGGAACAATATTCCAATCTGTGCTGTGTTTTTAATTACCTTTCCCCACCCACCTCTTTTGACAAGCTTTCAAAAAAAAGTAAAAAAAAAGTAACCACTAAATCCTACATTGAAAAAATAGTTTATGTTTTTCAAATTATATTTATGATTAACCATTCTGTTCTATCAAGCTTTATTGTCAGTGATATAATGATATGTCATTCTCACAACCAATAGGTTTGGTTTTTATAGTTGTTCTCATCCTGAACCAGTTTTTGGCAACATCTCTTCTTCCATGGTTACACTTGGTATAAACTCGGTATCATCTCTCTTGGCTGCAGAGCAACTGTCAACTATCTAATACAATGTTTCTCAACCTTGGCAGTTTTAAATTGTGTGAACTTCAACTCCCAGAATTCCCCAGCCAGTCATGCTGGCTGGAGAATTATGGGAGTTGAAGTCCACACATCTTAAAGTTGCCAGGGTTGACAAACACTGATCTAACATGTCTACTGTATTCTGTATACAATACAGAAATAATGTGTTGCTTGGCCGGGCAGGGGGAGCCTGACATTTTTTGCAAATGTCATTTTGTCACTCACTCCCTAGACAACATCCTTGAGGAATGAGTTTTGCTACAGGAAAAGTGCAAAGTTATGGGAGACTTATTGTCCAAATTAAGAATGGATTCAGGTACACAAGTTTTGAAATCCCTTTCATAAAGGTGATGCACTATCTTACAACTTTTAAATCCTTTTGCATTTCCTTAGGCAATTGCAAAATTCTTTCAAAAATACTTTCCACTTGAAAATTAGAATTTGAAACAACTTCTATTTATTTATATGTTTAATTAATGCATTTATTCATAGAATTTCCAAAATACTGGAAAGCAAAGAAGATTAATAGACAAAAGAAAAGAAATAACATTAAAGTTTTAATGGCAGGATGGGTAGCTAGCCCTTCCCTTCACAGCAGTGACTCTCAAAATGGCCATGTAGCAATGTTACTTTAAATG